TAAGTCTGGGTTCACCATAGTGTGGCGAGTTCGGATGACGAGTAATTCGTAGCAAGTTTACGGGCTTGGCTTTGATACTCATCTGCATACACAATGAGTTCCATTGGTCTTGGTCATCTGATAACCTAACCCCGCAATGTGATGGCGGTAGATTCAGGGACATTTGAGCATACAACAGTCCGGGCACTGTTGTTGTATCCCTTTTTAATCGATCTACAAGGTATGGTATTCATTTGTCGTGACTTGTTGACAAGTGATTGTTTGCTCTTTTTCCCTCCATTTGCGTTAACGGTGTTTACAATGGAAGAGGACGCAACGGCGGCCTCTCGGTGGACCCTTGCAGCAATCTCTGCATATTAACTAGTGTTCTGGGAGGCTTAGTCTCGACAAGAGATATTTGAGCTACAGGTACCAACGGTTGGTGTTTGGCTGCTCCATCCTTGTTAATACTAGATGTCAGGTCTAGTGGAATTTGCTTAACCAGACGTTTTGAATGGTGCCTGATTTTCTTTGCTGTGGGTACTGCTTGATTCACGTAGGTACAGTCTGTTTTCGCCTGGCGTTCTACCAAAGTTGGAGAAGACAACGGAGATGGAGACATGGCTGATTGCGGTGCAGGCGAAGCGATTTGTTCAGCATTCCGTTGCTTAGCAGCCGCTACGCTTCTGTGGTCCATACTCGCTCCCATTGAAGTAATCTCATTGTTTATCCTCTGCTCTGCTTCTGCGATTAACCGGTCGCATTTCTCAGCTAGGATAAGCAAACACTTAACGAGGGGGATGGTGGAACACGCAGTACAGAACCAAAATACATCTTGGGAGCTATTTCGCCCCCGTAACTGTTGTTGGGACACATTTGCACATTTCGTATGGTAACATGCTAAACAGTGCGAACAAGCCAGACCGATTTTTACTACCCGATGACATTCTCCTAACCCGCAAATGCCTTTCGATGGGAGTCTCTTCGGTTTCGCCTTTCTGCCATTCAATTTGGTGTCGTTACCTGACCCAGTGGGTTGGTTAGCGTTCTGTACTTTTACAGCTTTGAGAGCGGCGCACATCGGTCAGGCGAGCGTGGTGGTTGCAAGGTCAAATGAGCGGTCGGCGTGGTCGCGCGGTCCGTGCGATGGGTAATGCAGCCGCACTGGCTGACAAGGTCACAAGGAATGGCGAGTGACTGCAACCTGAACAGAGCGCTGAACACAGATTCTTTCACAGCTGTGTTGAGAAACACTGGGTCGGAGTAAGCTTAGGCTTTTCGGCCTGCCTCGAGAATTCTGCATCGAATGGTGTCACACAGAATGGCAATCGGCTCAATACGATTGAATTAAACGCTTGCGCTTAATCACAGATGCCAGTGAAAACGCTTAGTGATGGCACAGCCTCTAATCGTAGAAGATATTTCCACGTATGATGGATCACTGTGTAGAGCTGGTAAATCCGGTTCGAATGAGCGTACAGTGACAACGCTGCGAGAAGATGGAGAGAGGATAGAGGGAAATAATCCAAATGAACCAGTAGCACGCACGTCACGCGTGTGTGAGGATGACCTTGATGCAGGGCTGTGAGGATGACCTTGATACTAAACTCCGATCTTCATTTACATCACAGTGGCACCCATAGATTCTGAAACCTATGCAAAACATGTAATCTAAATCTAATGTAAAAAGAAGTTTTAGTGAAATGCAGTCTGACTTCTTGGGTGTACTATGAAATCAAAGTTATTTGGAAATCTTTGATAAAGATTTAAATCAAGAACGGGCGGAAGACAGATCCTCGGGGTACACCACTGTAGACGTATAGATTGTCGGAATTTGTCCTGGCAAACCTTACTGTAATCGTTCTCTCGTCTAAGTAACCTTCCAACCAGATGAGCAGGGAACCGTTTATTTCATAGTCACTGCGCATTTGAAGAACACATTGAACGCATTGAATAACTATGTCAAAAGCTTTAGTAACCTCTAAGTAAATCACTTCTTGTGCGACTCATACGTCGGTTACTGTGGTCCGTGTGTCACCAGTCAAAAGCCGAATAACCAGAAAAGATGGTCTACATTTGAACATACGTGAAAGATTGTCAATGATTTGTAGACTTCTAAGGTACCGTGTCAGTTCTACGATTATTCATTCCATGTCATCTGACGAAGCATAGGAAGAGCTAGAAGTCCCTAGTTGGCAGGATGAGATCGCCTAACTTCTTTGTACATCGGATTGGTGATTCCACTTATTTACTCAGATGCACAAGCATGGGAATAGATTTGACACTGAAAAGGCAACAAGCTACACTGTAAAAGTACGCTCAAGGGATTTAAGAACCTTGTATATATCATGCAGACTCACAGGACACTGTTTCTACGGAGAGACTGTAATGTGCTTGCGATATCTATTGCGATGAATTTGACGTTAGATAAGGCGATCACATTCGCTGAGAATTGATATGGCAAAGGTTCCACAGTGTTAGTGGCCACTGAACCACACTGTAATGGCAATGGTATTCGAAATATCCATAAAAGTAGTCGATGGCCACTGTTATTCTTGCGTGTTGAGAATCTTACTATAGTCAAACCTGTCTAACGCGACCACACAAAGGACCGACAAAAAGTGGTCACCTTGGACACGTAGTTGCTATGGTCAGGTTCTTGCATAAGAACATCAGTCATAAAAGAACACTTTGTAGATGTTTTTGGCTGGTCGCCATAGACAAGTGGTGGCCATGGTAGTTTGGACTCTACAACTTTCTGGTCTCCTTCACATACTTATGAAAAGCTTTGGTATTGCTTGCAAACTAAAATGTTTTGCCCTTTTGTCATTCATGCTTGTCAGATCTAATGAATGAAATGCAGCATTTTGCCTGTTTTGCAGTCCTACTTGTTAGATGAGATTAGTTTTGTGCGTGTTGCATAAAATTTGCATCTTCTCTATTGATTCGATTACCCGTTTTGTTTTAGACCCAAATGTGACCTTGGTCCGGTAAACGTATTTGTCGCATTTTTCGCAGCTCTTTATTTAAGATAACTCAACTTGTCCTTTACATCATTACAAGCTACTCTGTCCGAACTGCGCTGCAGGCGATTCCAGTCAATCGTTAGAGCTAGGTTTTAAACTTTGGGGTAGTTGGTACTAGGCTTTCGAAGTTTTACAGTTCATTAGAAATGCTATAGTTTCACACAACCAAACGACATGGCATCCATCTTCTGCGGAGGAAAGAGCAGGAATTAAGGTTGTTATTACCATGTCCCGAGTATTATCTTAACTTTAAGGGTTTAATATTCGACCCTTATGTAGCCTTTGAGCTATGTCAATTGACGACTCCGATTGAAGACCTATGCAACGCGTAGCACGTTCGCGACAGTCCTGAATTCCATGCCAGATACGTACTATGTTGCTGACTACAGATGGTTTGAGAGTAAAATCAAAGCTAAAATGCAGCAACATTTGGGCCGAAAATTAGCACCATAACGATGCAATCCAAAGACTAGTTGTTTCCAAACAGAACCGAATCGTGACAACTGGTAACCAGGAAAAACAAGGAGCAAGAAACACTGACTGAGATTGGGTAGTCGGGCAACATTTATAATGTTGATGGAAGCGCAGGCAACCCGATCAGTCTGCGAAGTAGATTTGTTGCGTTGCAAGCCCTCAATATCGAACAGGAGCTGAACAGAATAGCGCACGAAAGGAAGACGAAAGCTTTATGTACACGGATGAGCCTGTATCAGAGATGCTTAAATCGCTCCCATACATATAAACATTTCGCTGTGTCCGGGAACCACAAACCTCTCTCTGGCGAACTGAATTGGTGTTTACCTACGCACAGTGGTGCATTATCAAGGCAGAGGTATGTGCATTCACATCTGAGTTACGCAATGCAAGATTAGGGATGCTGATGGAGATTGAATCTCACTCGATGTTATATTTCGATTTCTTTTCGCCTAACTTTATATCGAGATGGACAAAAGTTAAGAGTCCAGGAAGACAATTTGAAATGCAGATAATCGTCACTTATAAATATAAGCAATTTTAATTACTGATCATCTCCATCTCATCCTTCAGAGTAGCTGATACTCATAGTGATGAATTGGCCTATCAAATTATGTGTCAGAGCAAAATTTGCCGAAAATTTGCTGAAAATTGCATATATATTTGCATAGAGAATTCCGCCAGCGTGCATATTTCGACTATGTTCTATATCCACAGTCTTACGTAAAACAACGTAAATATTCTCAGAAGACACCAGCACGGTGTCTTGAGACAAGTGTCCTGATTGATGCCCAGGATCCATATCACATTGAATCTCCAGTTGTTAACCATTGCTCTTATTTGTTTTTCTTATGCACACAGCTGAAAATGATGCGTTCTTAAAGTTTGATTAATTATTGGAAAAATGTGGGTCTAGTCTTGCTGTGACGGCTACAAAGCGAACCACCGGCTGACTAACTTTCAACGCCTTTCTTTAGAGCAACCAACCAATGTATATACATATTTGGTAACCAAACATAAGACAGTAGGGTATCGATTTACGCTAAAAAAGATTGATCAACCAAGCGTAGAAAAAGCTGTGAACATCATGGTCTCCAGTATATCTCATCAAGCCCGCTAGCTATGGGGAGAAAACTTTTACAACTAATTTATGTGTTGGGAAGATGGAGTGTTAAACTTTCGAGAGACTGCTACGATGGGAAGAGTTTAATGGCAACATTTGATAGCCCCACTATCACACAGGTTGTGGTATCAAGTAAAACATACAAGAATAACTGGTCTCATCACCGTAATTACACACGGATTAGGGGCCTGGGAAGAACATTTTTACTGAGGGCGATCTACTGTACAAGCACGTTAAAAAGCAGTGAATGCAGTGACAATTATAGTTATCCAATCAGCTAGATCGGCACGAAATTCCAAGTTTCCGGAAATACCAGTTAAATTAAAAGGCTTTGAAGTTAAAATATCGACTTTAATTGAACTAGTAAATGGCTATTTGTAATTTCATGGCCAAGATGCTGTTAGTTCGCCATTCGTGATATAACTTTCTTCAGGCGAACGTAGAAAGATGCGGATGTGCAGTGATCTGCCGTGATTTTGATTTATATTAAACTACTACAAACTACAAATGGTGCGTGATTATCTTACCGAGAGATTCGGTCACAAATGGATTGGTCGCTTTGGTCATATGCAATCACCTCCCCGATCACCAGCTTTAAACCCCTTAGATTATTCCTTTGACGTTATTTGAGACGGAGCGCATACAAAACAACCCTTGTTTCACTTCAACTACTGATGGACCGGATTGTCATAAAATGTCGGGCCATCAACTGTGAAACTTTGCAGAAGGTTCTGGTCAATTGCCTTAGGCGATTTCTGCACTGCAAGCGAAACGCCGGCTGGCAACTTGAGCATAATCTTCGTGGACGTATATCTCAGCGTTGTATGTTGTTCACGGGAATATAACTTTCACCGTTATAACGGATTTCTAGACTAAATGGTGCACGGGTACGTGCTGTCCTAAGGGCATCGTGCCGGAATGAATGCAATGAGCAAAGCTGCTTCGACGGCGTTTAGACTGGCCACCTCTATCCAAATCGGTTCGCAATGCCAGCATTTGCCTTACATGGGTACACCTAAGGAATACGGGGAGGATAAGAACGAGATAGTACTCTGAGATTAGCATGGGCGGTTACGCAATTTCTTCGTTTTCATCAGCGTATAGACTTCGTCGTGGGAGGAGTACTTCTAAACAATAACAACCGGTAACAGAAAGTGGGAAGAAAGATGGCCCCTAGTGTTGTGACAAAGTGTTGGATTGTTCAACCACCAATAGGGACCGTGAGCTGCGTGTTGATTGTAATGAGCCAGATTAGTTTCACCATAATAATGAATACAGAGACACAGCGAAGTAAAAACTGGAACCGCAGGTTCAGACATTTGACATATGTGGCTGGTTGAAAAGCTAATGGTGCGCAACTACCATTTGTGGGATTAAGACTCAAGGCATCTAAGGCTGCTTTCAATGCACGCGAAGTACATTGGCCGGACCGCACATGTGCAGGGGCTGCTGTTTTTGCTGCTGAGCTTTTGCACGTAGCATTGAAAGGACCTTTGTACCACTTTGTAGATCAAACCACTACCTTCATGGGACATCAGACACCGTGCATCTTTGATCTGGTCGTCGCAAAGTCAGGAGACTTTGTTACGGGATTTTGTTTATGGTCCTCCTAGTAGCCAGTGACCATGTTATTCTGTCATACAGTGGTGCATTTATTAGGCAATGCAAACGGCCCAACACCAAAACTCACAATATCTGTCGTTTTTGAACGAACTAGCAAGTTTACCTTCCGGACCCATCACTTAGGTTAGTACTTTGCATAAGGACTGGAAGCAGGTTGTTACCTGTTCCGTTTTTAACAAAGAGCGACAAGCTTTTACCTAGGAATTACAGACCTAAACTTTTAACTTGCGTTCGGGACAAACTGTTACATAGACTGGCAAATATGTTTGCAGGCATTTTGTCCGCTCAATCCGTGGCAACATGGCTGCTCTAAAGTTATGTTTGCCTATCTTACTCTATCAATGCGGATATCCACTTCGAGTCAGTTTACAGGAGACAGGCAAAGACTGAAGCCAAGTCTTACAATTCAGGCTACACAAATGTGATTGTAGAAACCTTTTCGTCTATTACCCTGTGTCTTTTGGATAGGCTGCTAAACATTTTAGAGTCTTCTAATCTATAGCATTTTACTCGGACCAGTGGTCCAACACACATCAAACACTCCATGAGACGCTTAGCAACGCAGATGCCAAAACATTACCTTGCATCAATTTGGATACTCACCGTTAGAAGTACTGCCGGTTATAGTTTAGCAGTTAGTCTAAACTTATCATCAATTTATCGCAACGGTTTTGTTCAAATTTTTCTACGCCGTTTGGAGCGGCTTAATAATGACTTCAAATAACGACCACTAATGACAACCGAGCTGATTGTCATCAGGTCTATGCATCCTGTACAGTGAAATCAATGGATGCTGTTGCAGTCTCTCTCTTATTATGACGTGGCTGTAATATCATTTTGGGCGTGGTTTACACTGATCAGAAGAGGAAACTCCGTCACTCCTTCGGACCGAGAAACCATCGTGTATTTTGAGAACAAGGTTGCATGTGCCCATGCGTGAGTATCACAGGGGATTACAAAGTCATCTCGACGAAATAGGCAGTCGGTTCAGAGTAGACCAAATTTAACCTAGCTTTCCTAGTCGAAGACAAATTTTTGCCTAGTTTTATAAATGCATTTCCTTGATGCTATTAGTCGAAAGATACTGCTTCCCTGAAATAAATTGCTGAATTATAACGAACTAGAGAAATTTATCTGCCTTTATTACATACATATGCAATTTATGGCAACATGTTACGGTACCTTCGGCAGGGACTCGGACGTGCGATTATAAATACTTGAGCACAGTGGGCAAACCGATAAGTAGAATATGATTCTAAATTACGAGCGCATCACTGCAAGTAATTGTTGGTATTCAGCTCTTCCGTAAGACTTTAGTGTTATTTAAATTATGCAACTTAATGTGTACGGAAGCGAGTTAACTCCTGTATAATTTTCAATGCTACTCTTTAATGTATGCAAAAATAACTAAATAAATAAAGCTTTTATTCTACTACGGTGTCAGACACATTCAAACTGAGGAGATTGATTAATTGGTACATGAAAATCGCAAAAACGGTTCTGAACTGAATAGGATTTTGAAGGCAGTAGAGTGATTAAGAAAGCAGGAACAATAACAAATGCAGATTTAGTCAAATATTCAAATAAAGTAATAAGGGCCAACCATGGAACTGCCTTCAGGGGACATGCTTCCATGCGGGTTATTCCCTTGATGTATTTCACCCGCACTTCCATACTCCAGCTGGATGTGTACCGGTGTGCCAAAACAGCATGCAAGCCATCACTTGTTGTTGCTGTTGTTTGTAAGGGCGGTTTTATGCATGCATTATGGGTGTTAAAGCCTCAGGCCGATGCGTATGTAGATCATTCAAGTATGGCAACTTTTTGTCATTTGCAAGCGAGTCAGTGGCAGTACGCATTGCACGCGTATACTGACTTTATCTTGGAAGCAGTAATCCGTCACCTCAAGAGATCACCTCGCTCGTGACCAACAGTGAAATAAAGAATAATATAAGGTCTGATGAATGTAAAACATAATAAGTTTCGCAAGATTTTGTTAATAAGCGAAGCAAAATATGATGGAAAGTTGTTAGGAACAACGAAGTCTTACGGAGATTTCAGCTTGGAAGACGTAGTTCATCTCCGAAACAGTGCACTAAAGGAGAAGAAGACGGGAATGTAGGAGTGATGGGCATACGATGGACTGTAAATATATACTAAGGCGTTCATCCAAGTAAAAGCAAACTTATGATATTGAGATAAGTAGGGA